TTTCTCTGGAGGCTCATTAAGGTAATAACCCGATAAATGGAGGATTCCCTATGACCTACGGTTTAGAACAAGGTTACCAAACCCCTCTTCCCAGTCCACTGGTGTCCTTTCCCGTAATCAGTGCAGTTTGCAGACACGTGTTAGCCACAACATGGCTTGGTCGCCTAAACTTTTAAGCATCTCAGGGCGCGTTTCATCGTCTCTAGCAACCTTGCCATTTTTCAGGCTTTTTACAGCTTCTGCGACTTCATCTACTGAAAGAATAATGTTCATTGCTTGCTGCACTTCAAGTGCACTTGAGCAGCCCGATCTTTAACTCTATCCTCCTAGGTCGTTTCTGTGTCGTACGGATTTACCGTACATTAAGCTTTTAGTACGATTCGCTGGTAAAAAATGGAATGATCTCTTCTAAGAATCTGTCCCTGTAAAGCTCTATGTAAGTAGGCAGTTTGCTGTAACGGAAATCATTCAAACGAAGTAGTATTTACAAAAGTCGATCCGTTTATTTTAACGCCAAACTTACATAGCATGGGAAGAAGTGGCTTGCCTCATGGCATATACAAAACGGCGATGACGATGACACACTTTGAACTTTGACGTCGACGTCGAAAACGTGAATAATCCTCGCCATCATCAACGACAGCGTGGGTGCAGGTGTGTGGTATTGTCCAATCGAACGGTGCGGCCGGCCGCCTTCCAGCAACAGAATGAACGGTCGCGTTCCTTAAGGACTGTGGAGCAAAATAGCCATCGATCCGATACACCGGTAAATGATGGTGGTCGTCGCGTGGTTCATATCTCTATCACCTGCCTTACCGTCCGGTAGCCGTTGCTACGCCAGTGGATAAGCAGTAGGAAGCTGAAGCACAGTCCGAAGATGGACACGGTGATCCAGCTAAATATTCGAGTGCCCAGCTCGATCCTGCTAAGCTCGCCGCCGTCAATTACGTCGTTTCTGTAAGAGTCATGGTCGAGCGATAGATTGACCAGCTGTGGTCCAAAACTGAGGTCGGTCATGGGGGTACAGCGCGGCGTAGCGGTCGGACGACCGGTCGGGGTATGGATCAAGAGTGCTGGATAAACGGGGCACCGCTGAGGGACGGCAACAACGATCAGTGAATGCAGTGAACGGCTAGCAACAAGAATGAATGATGTTCAACTCTATTGTGCGCGATGTAAGAAGCGAAGACGAATGGACACTGACCGACGGGGCGGGTCCAACTGAGGCAAGCGCGGGTCGTGGCCAGTGATCGGCCGCACCCGGCGACAGCTATGCGTTAATGACGCGAAGTTTTGTTCCGTTCGGCTTCCCTTAAGCTCCCCTAGCGTCGATTCCGCTGTTCCAACGCTACAGACATCCTTTCACTTCATTTCATCCGTCCATCTGTCCGAGTTAGAATCCCTTCATTGGTCAGCGACGAGTTGCTCGGCAACCAGAAGCCTATGCGCTGGCGTTGACGAAGACTTAACTTGGCCAGTAGGTCGGTTGTCGCATTCTCATCGATTTTTCGTACATCGATCAGCTCTAGTCTTCATCAGCGTTTGTGGCTTGATCTGGATGGGAAGACATTCTCCTACCCTCATGCCTGCCGACACAGACTTCCGATGAAATGTTTGGCTAACAGAGCGCATGGACGGATAGGCAGGATTCGCAGTAGCCGTTCCCTCCTTCCTCGACACGGTTTTGATCTTAGACTCGCCACATGTTCCGGAATCATTGTTCTTTTGACAATCGATTTTTCATCCAGTCTCATCAAATAACACCTCAAGTACGACTGGCTCAAGTGAATAATCGATCAGCTATGCGTTTATTGTTAGTCGCGAGGATGAACCGATGCTCATAATCATCCATGTTATGCTGAAAGAACGGACGACACAAGGTGTTAGGCTTGTTGTGCAAATAGAAGAATCGGTGCATTCTTCGATCTACTCAGCAACCGCCGGCCGAAATATTACAACTTTAAGAATAGTCGCATTAAACATTAATTAAGTTGCGTCTCTTCGAAAGTGCTTCTTCAGTGTCATTAATCGAATATTCATAACTTGGTGTCGGAGCGTAATGAAAAAATTTCCAATACACCCACCGGCGTCGTCCTCGTTCAACTTCGTTCAGCGAACCTCGACAGCATCTTCAGTTGTAAGTCAATGGCACAGTGCCTAAGAGATCGATTCCGGTGGAGGAGAAACCTTTGTCTTAACCACGAATTCCTTGAGCGACGAATTTAGCGCACGCTGTTCCCGATCTACCGAGTTGCTTAGTCGGTAGAGCGTTGGACTCAGAGTCGAGAAGTCCCGGGTTCAAGCCCTGGTGTGAGTCACTTGGCTTTTTTCCTTCAGAGGTTGATAAATTAGTACCACTCTGTTGAAAAAAACCAGAGATTACAAAACATGCTCGCCACGTTGCTGATTGCTCTCTCACCTTAAAACGAGACAGTTCGAGCTGAGGCATTAAAATGGAGTTTAGCGTCCCATCAGTAACCGTAGGGTAGGGTGCCAGAAGTGGCGCCATCATGAAAGTGCAAGGTAGACTGACATTCAAACAAACACACACTTTCCTGTTTTCTTCCAGTTTTAGATTTATGGATATGTCTTTAGAGATGAGCGAAACCACTAAGCACTGACATTGTCCTGTAACAGTCATTTTCTACGG